GGTTCGGTAGAAGGACAGGTAAAATATAAATACCAACAAGAAGTATGTCTTTCCCAATGTTTCGACGGGAAGGATTGATTCGAGCTCGACTGCAAGTAGTTCATCAACATCCTTCCATGGGAAACATAAGGAAAGACGTACATATTGTTGTCATTTATATCTTAACTGTACTTCTGCCAATCCTTAAATGGGCAACTGTAAAACGACGGCCAGTGATGATTCGAGTTCGACTGCAAGTAGTTCATCAAAATCCTTCCATGGGAAACATTGGAAGGATTGGTAGAAGTATAGGTAAAATATAAATACCAACAAAAAGGATGTTTATCCCAATGTTGCCCATTTAAGGATTGGCAGAAGTACAGTTAAGATATAAATGCCAACAATAAGTACGTCTTTCCCAATGTTTCCCATGGAAGGATTTGTAGAAGTATAGTTAAGATATAAATACCAACAAGAAGTATGTCTTTCCCAATGTTTCCCATGGAAGGATTGGTAGAAGTATAGTTAAGTTATAAATACCAACAAGAGGTATGTATGTCTTTCCAAATGTTTTCCGTGGAAGGATTGGTAGAAGTATATGTATAGATATAAATACCAACAAGAAGTATGTTTTTCCCAATGTTTCCCATGGAAGGATTGGTAGAAGTATAGGTAAGATATAAATACCAACAAGAAGTATGTCTTTCCCAATGTTTCCCATGGAAGGATTTGTAGAAGTATAGTTAAGATATAAATACCAACAAGAAGTATGTCTTTCCCAGTGTTTCCTGTGGATTGGTATTAGTGTAATAGTGCCAGAGCAAAGTTGTCAACATATCAAAATAAGCCATACTCACGAGTTACTCTACTATTATTTATTTAGACACTACACTCTCCCCAGAAAGGTCGGCAGTAAGTACTAAAGTTACATAACAAGAACAAATTAGGGGAACAAACAAACAAACAAACAAACAAACAATCAAACAAACAAAAAGATGAAATAAAAGGATTGTCGCTCTCTCTATTTAATGATTTGATGTTGTTGCCTTGTAGAAAAGTTGCCTTTATTATGCTTTTTTAAATATAATATGCCTTACGTCTTTTTCGTTGACTATCAAAATAAATTTAGTTTTTCCCGTCTTGATCCATAAAGCCAGGGATCATGGATTTTGAAGCCTGTTCATGCAATTGTTGTCTTGTCGTTGTCGCTGTTTTTAAATGGAACAAGATATAATGAAGCGTGTCTACCTGATTCAATCTTTAACCAAAAGGCGCCTAATCTACTTAACTGTTCAGTGAATTCAGTAATTCATTGTTTTCTACTGTTTCTAGTTTGGTGGGGCTTTTTCCCACTTTATATGTTTATTTGAAATGTCTGAAGATATTATTTTACTAGTATTGAGTAATTTGTATTGTTATTGTTGTTAGTTATTTCTGTTTTCCTGTTTATAATGAACTGTTCTGTATTTATCTGTCTTATGTGTGCACCTGTAAAAGTTGTATTAGTTTTTTAGAAAGTGAGCTTGTTTGGTTGTTTTTTGTTTAATATATATACATATATATATCTAGTGGAATTCTGTCGAGATCCCCATGGATACCAATTAGTAATAATAGATATTATAGCAAGGGGGGATTTAGAGGGATTCGACGAATCCACTTTTTGACCAATCATTTTTTTTTAGTTTTAAGGTTCATTTCAATATTATAATTATTATTTTCGAATTTCTATAGCCATAGAAATAGTCAACGGAATAAATGTTAAGTTTCGAGCAAGACAGTGTTTTCCGTATGCAAGGGAAATGACTTATAAATCTACAACCAAGTAATCACTCGAAACGAAAACCAAACATCAGTAGTACAATCATCACACAAATAATTAATCACACAGGTATTCAACGTTTCATATGGGAAGGAAGCCGAATATACAGATTTACCTCACTAAGGATTCTGAAGATTTCTGTGAATATTCGTGAAAAAATTGACGAAGTGAATAATGAAGCGTTTTAAGCTTTGATTAATATTAACACAATATTTTATTGGGCAATCTATATCTGACCTGATGTAGCATTGTTAAATTGGAGAATCTTCGGATTCTGACCTTGAATAAATTGTGGTTATAAATACGAGAAATAGTTAGACTAAATTTGAATAATGTAAGTTATTTGGTTTATTCCGGTCTGTTAATTCAAAGGTGCTGCTCGAGTTTCATACAAACTATAGTTGTCCGAGACACGGTTACTAAAAAACCGTGTCCTCGTACAAACTACGTTATTCTTTCTCCCCCGCATCAGCGCCACCAACGTCAGGTGATTGTCAAATGATGGTAGTACAAACTGAAATAAAATACGGTCAAGCTACGGTTTGTATCGTCGCCCAAGTGTCTAAACTCGCGGAGTACTTTGTTTTTACTTCGATGTTGACGTGCGTTGTCGCACGTACGTCCGTTTTCATCATACTAACGAGGGGTCACACCGAAATGTTTCGTGAGTTATCTGCAGATAATCAACGTCTGGTTACCCGACTGGTTCAGTTTTATTTATCTATTCAATATCCCATACTGAGATTTTCGTGTCCTAAGTAACGCCTGCAGAGTTGTAGGTCGGTGTATTTATTACCCTGTGACGACGAGCGTATAGAAACAAAAAACGTCCTATCATTGTTTGGTACGTTGATTTATCTGATTAATTGAGTCCCCAGACAACGCCGTATTCACGGGTCGTTGGCTTTCCTCTGGTCTGTCTAGACTCAGTCATGGATACAGTCCCGTAGTTTGTCAGCCGTAGTATTACGTCTCAAAATACAAGTTATTGTCTCACAAACTTAATCCAGTGTACGGATGCGAACTCGCTTCCGTCTCATGTCAGGATACGATAAGTTCTTTTATCGCTTCGACGCGCATTCCAACGCCTATGATCAGACGGAGATGCACAATTGTTTTTCCGCTGGAGTGAAGGTTCTAGTACGGAATAAATGTATTCATAGTCTTTCTATCTATGATAGAGGGCTATGCTATGATCAAGGTTAACTCGGTCTGAATATTTTGAGATCCAGAGTTTGCATCTATTCAGAGCAGTTCCTCTGTAAAAAAAAAAAAAAAAAAAAGTATACCAGATTGTGTTGTTGTTTTTTTCTATCAAGCATTGTAAATACAATGTAGTAAGAATAGGGATGTGTAGGGATATGAAATCCATGCTTCATGGTTATTTATTTCTTGTCGAATAAGATAACTTTTCAGCGTAGACCATTTGTAACAAGACACACTTTTACAGTAGATCCAGATTAACCTCCGGATCGAACCCAATCCATTTCCTCAAGCCTTTCGTATCTACGCCCGAGATTATAGAATTTAAGTCTACAAATAATTGAATTTATTAAATTTCCCAATGACCACACTTCTTTCTATCGAAAAGATCAGCTTATTGCCGACGTCACGCACGGAAGTAGTCATAAAGGTGTTTTTATGAACACGTAAGTTGGTGAATCAAACAAAACGTGACGTCACAACAAGGCGTGATATTCCGACGACGTTCTCGATTGCATGGAACACGTCACAGCGTATACAATCCATTGTATATTGTGATTCCAACTCAAGTAAAAATTATATCACCCTGTTTATGTCGTATTGTGTGTGCATCAGCAATTCCCTTTGTCAACTGCCAATCTAAATATGTAAATTAACACCCGAGTTTGTATGTCATTGACTCAATCGTCAATTCCTTCCTTCAATGACGGTGGCATGTTGTTTCAAAATTTCCGCAACATTACGGAGAATTGTACTTCTTTGAGATACAACCACTGAGGTCGTTTGTATGAAACTCTGAGTATGAACACACTTGCACTTGACTTTGATATATTGATTCATGACACAAAGAAATAATAGGCGCATGAATTCCGAAAATAATGGTACATTTATAGTTATATTTTAATAACAGGGTCAATCAAATGTCATGGTGGAAATATGTAAGTGTCGTTATAATTTAATGAATAGAAAAAACAAACATTTATTTCATTTTCTCCTGTTGGTCATTCTCGCTTAATGGTACCCAATCCATTATTTTGGATTGCCCGTATACATAATCCACAGTTTCAAGAATTGAGAAAATAATGTTGCCATATGCCTGCATCGGTGTGGCAACTTCGACCACATGATTACACATACTAGTATATTGTATCTCATCGACTTTATCATCCTATATATATATATAGGATGATAAAGTCGATGAGATGGTTATGCAAACTAGCGTAAGTTATGGAATGTGGGGACATAAACAGTATCGAGCCGTAGAAATAGTTTGGTGAGCGTTGAGTGTAAACATGAGTCAGAAAATCGGTTAAACACGTGAATTTAATTACATGTACACAATAACAAATACGAAAACAATGGCGAAGATTTAATATAAATAAATAACAAGACCAATAAATATAAAAAAAATACTTATTTATCACTATGCCGACGCTGTCCTTTGAGAAAGCAGCATTTTATGCGTCGGTTCATTCGATAAACAAATTATTTACTATGAGCTTCTGTGGGCAGAAATGAATCCCAAATTTCAAACTTTGTCAATCCCAAATACCAGTAATCAAAGCAAATAGTCATACATGGAAAAGAAACCAAGTAAGTAGGGGGGAAGTGACTCCCCGGTCGAGGTGTACTCGGACGATCACATTACTAGGTCATGCATTAAACGTCATTTGGATATCATAACTGTCATTGGCAAAGCTGTCTTAGGATACGCAACAGCGAAGCGGTGACACAGTCGGGTACTCATGCAAATCCAATTTAATTTCCTAATACACTATATATCTTCTTTTTAAGGTTGATATCGTAGTGGACATCACCCACACTCGCACGGTTTCGTATTCGTTCATTCATCTCTCCATATGAAAGCAGGAAACATTATACATTGAAAATCTAAGAGGAGTATCAGATTGTGTCAGTTAACTTTATTGAGGAGGGGGGCAAGGGTTATTTCGTTCAACGTAATTACAATATTTTTTTGTTCGTACAACGTAAACTGAAAAAATAAATTTCGTAATTCTGTAGTCACAGGCTAGACGTACAACGTAATCAATCAAATATTTTTTTTCGCACACTGTAAAAATGTGTCATTTTTCTCGGTACGTACAAGAATTTACATCCAAATAAAAAAAGTCGTGAAGAATAATCCAGGGACATTACATTTTCGAAACTGTAAAACGACTAGATGACACAATTCACTGTAAAATTCAATTTTCACTGTAAAAACGTCTTTTTATTTTATTTTCCGTAAAACTATACCAGCTACCCCCATGCCCCTCTTCATTGTGTCCTCATTCCGGCACAATAACAAGACAAACTTATACTTTTCAACAACAACAAAATGCATCTGTCGTCATGGTGACCTTGTTTTGACAGTACGTGTTGTATCTACGCGTAGTAGACTTGGTGTTCCATATTGCACTGCGATCAGCACCAGTTCCGCATTCTTAAAACGCTTTTACCCATATATGGCACTATTAATTTCCGATCATGAAATCTTAACCTCTACAGCTGTCTGCATAAAAACCTAGAAACTTTTAATGAATGCAGAACTCTCTGAATAATCCAGAACTGATATTAATAATGTTAATTGTTCATTATATACGTATGAGTGACATTCTAAAAAAAAAACAGTATTTTTTTGTTTTGTTTTTCCAGTTGTCAAAACGATATACTAGTAAAATGGATAGGAATTTCTGTCCAATTATAGTTTTCAATATACACATTTTTTTCTATCCTTTTCAACCTTTCTTGAACGGTAACTTATTCGACACCTGGCAAAAATCACATGATCACGTAGACCAATCGGCACGTCACTGAAATTCCAATCGGTAGGTGTGTTTTATTTACTCGATGACACAGAGTCTCTGATTGGGTAGTGCGTTTACCGTTTGCGCATGTGTTTGAAATGATTCTACGTTTTGTATTGCGCTTGAATATAGAATACGTTTCTATTATTCAACAAAAATAATGTTTTACTGCAAATTTTAATAATAATTTGCTGTGAAATGCGTACAAATTGGTACTTTCATTACCTCGGGTCAATTCTGGATACGTAAAATTAACCAATCAGAAATCTTCATTTAAGAACACTTGCGACACTTGGTCCAGTAATTTATCGTCACAAAAAAGTAGTGAATAATTTGTAGTTACGCGATTAGAAAAAAATAAACAGAAAATATATTAAATTTTGGGATATATGTTCTAATTTTACAAGACTAATCAACTTTTATACATTTGTTACATTTACATTCGAACTACTATTGACATTGTACGCAAGCTTCAATCGATAGCTGTCGAATTGGTATCTACACGAATACATGTTGTGTTGTGTTGTGTTGTAATATTTTGTGTTGCTGTGTTTTGGGACTATGAGACAGCGAGCATGGCGGGTCAAAATGGCTACACACAAAGTAATAGCCTCATTCAGATGTGGCTCACAGTTTTATTAAGCCTTTTACAAGTTATTCCAACATACAGAAACTTAGCCGAAGCCCATGGCTCAGGTATAGTATAAATATTATGGTAAAAATGTCTGATCTGTACCCGCAGATCGTCGGCCAAAATGTTCGGTTGCTGTGACTGAATGTCGCGACAACTGAGTGTATTACGATATGCAAATGTACGTAAACACTGGGTATAATCATTATTGAAATCGCATGATTAATTGAAGTTCTTGTTTTAAAATATGAAATATGTGACGTATATGTTCGTCGAAAATGTGATTGTTCACCCTGTTATATTTTTGTAATATTTTGTGATATGTAAACCGTCTCTTTTCCAGCTTTTGTACAGACGACGGCGTCGATGAAAGGGCTTCGAGAGATCCGACTGGACGGAGCAATTCAGGTGTGCAACAATTTTTTTTTATAATGCTCGACTTGCATTATGGAGCATTCCATTCTGTATCTGTTTTCTTCTGTATGTCAAATATTGTCGTCTTACAGAATATCCTTTATAATGTTTAAAATTTGCACAGTAAGAGTGCGTCACAAAATTATGGAAAACGAGCAATATACAAGACGTGTACGGTGTACTATACGGGTACATGCAATATTTTGTGATTGATGTGACTACCCGTTACCAAACTAAATCTGAACATCGTTCACGTTAATAACAATGATATTGAATAACTCGGTCTGCCCAAACGGAACGTTTCCACGTGTAAATCGGCCAATACAATTTTTGACAACATTGTTTACATATTCAATGATATTGTCATGTTTTAATTGTTATTGTTTTTTATTTCTCGTCCTTAGTCACAGGATGGAATGGGTCTCCCGACCGGGCAAGGTCTACAGAATGACAAAAGGTAGGAGTGTGCGACACACAATGTTTTTTTAATTATTTGATACATTTAGTAAATTACCTATTGTGATGAGAATACACAGTAACATGATGGAGGTGTTATTCAATAGGTATGGTAATCAGTGTGAAAGAATACAGCTTTTGTTGTTGCCTTAGTTTTTATTTATACACTTTTATCGGTGTTGCCATAGTTCTTCACTTGTTATTTAACTGTTGTAAAGTCGTAGGTATATTTGGGCGTAACATAAAATATACATTATGGTTTATTGTAAAGTGTTTGCGTAAATGCAAATGACTAAGTTCGTTGTAAGGATATGCATGCAAATAGTTGACCTTACATGAAAGCAAGAGATTGATTTCTTTCACAAAAGCTTTTGAATGGTTATGTGCACCTTTTAAAGAAATTTGGCCAACGACCAAAACATCATTCATCAAAATAAATCTTACTCATCTCATGAAGACTGCACTGTTGCGCCAGGCAGCATATTGGGAATTTGTGGCTCAACCTTAATTGGTGCATTCTGGTATGACACATGACGATAATCTTGCCTATCGTGTGTGACCCATATGTAGATAGGAACATTAACTGAAATTAATTATTAATTCTAATGCTAAACTGTGATATAGGAAGGTTAGGCTATACTTTCTTGCATGATGTCCAGAGAATTGCTTGTCCTGACAAATAAAGTATCTGTCTGTAGTTTGTTGGATTTCTGGATAAGTATGTGGTACCCATACTAAGTATTCACTGCCTTTTGTCTCTAGCTATGAATGATACAGAGGTCAGTCTTGAGGTCACTTCAAGTTATCTGTATCAGGTGATTGTTGACATCCACTTATTTTATTTTGAATGTTCTTCATTAATTGGAGTTGTAATTGACATTCAAGTATATTAGCTTGTTACATATGTATGCTATTAACAGCCAACCCTGCCAGTATATTTCTACCAACTCATTTGATTGGCTTGAGATTTCCTTTTTAAACTGGCATAGTTGAAGCTATTTTTAAATGCCAGGTTACATGGACTTGTATTCAAGCACTTGTGGAACTCCTCTGTAATATAAAATTCACATGCATCAATTGCCTTGATGCCCAATGAGTTGGCCTCAGTGCCCTTGGAAAATACAGATTTGCTATATGTATGCTTGACATTGTACATAATAACAGGACAAAAACTAAGGTCATATAAGGTTGCAGTACCGACTAAACATAGCCAGGACTCAACAAACACGCTATTTTGCTATATATATTTAATAATAGTCAAAATTGATGAAGTAAGGGTATCTCAATGCAATATTCCCCTCTCAAACATTATTTGATTGATTTATTTATTTTTATTTATTTATTCGGTTGACCAACAGGAATAAATTTCCCAATTACAGGTTCCGCAACAAACAACCTAATAAGACTATAAAAATAATTCATCAATGCAGATTTAAATTTCCTGAAACTGCTAAATATATCTATTTTAAAATCCTGTTTTGATACCTCAATCAACGCTCGTGGAGGAAAAGAATGCATTTTGACATTCAGCTATAAAAAAATTTCAAAATCAAATCGTTTGATTTTTGTGGCAGATGTTTAGTTTGCGTCATTCACACAATATGCAATATCTCACAGTAAATGGGAAAATCACCTCTTCCTTTACACTCGGACATTTTTTTTATCAATTTTGGCCTTGAAAATTGGTGTCCTCTCAACTTTGAAATTCAAGCCTTGATGTTGCAGACCTATTGACAGGTGTGGATCAATTCAGCCTTTTAAAATATTTCTATTTATTTGTGCTTTCGTTTCACCATACACCAGACCTGCACACTGCATGATACAGTAGATTAGGTCAGATAACTAAAACTGTGATGTCATTGGGCATTATAGAATTATGTGTTTGCTCAATTTCAAGGAAATACTGAATATAACTAGAAGTGAAAGTCAATAATGTTGAATACTATTGTCGCCTCCTGGTATGGATAACTAGATTGGCACAAAGGAAACTCGGGTTTACTTATCGTATGCCACTAACTTGCACAGACCTGAAAGTCTATTAGTGTTTTAGATTTCTCCTACTATGTAGAGCATAGTACAGTGAAGAAATTCATGTCCAACTCAAAGATGTCCTATTTGACTCTTTAATTTTCGATCAAGGCCTGTATCAAGCATGGTGTGGACAGTATTTTGTTCTGACAAGTCTCAACTAAAATTTATGGGAAAAAAACAACCATACTTATTGTGCATTGGAAAGATGGTCTGTAAAAATGGGTTAATATATTACCATGTAGCCCTGTGTAATATGTAGAAAAAGGAAGTCTTCTATTAATAATATCAACATTTATTATCTTAAGTAAATATGAAAATGTCAAGTTATATCCTGTAAATTGCTGTACGTGTATGCGACTTGTTTAATGTGCATCAGGTAAAATGTAAATTCAACTAACGTATTTAAAAAGGGTTGTGTAAGTGAAAGACTTTGTAGTTCCGCATTTACATTTTCAAGGTCAGTTAAAGTTGGTGTTTGAGTTTTTTTAAAAATTTCAAGGTGAACATTACCTGATGATATACAGGTGCAGTTTTATTATTAAATACTAATAGATCGATATTACAACTACAGTCCCTTCTTCCCTTGCCGTCCTTGTAACAGACAAGTGTGTACTGTTTTGACGGCGTGATCTCATTTGCTAACATTTGGCACACGTTGTTATAACGGCAGATTAACCCAGTAAAAGTGGTGACTAATAAACTCCATCCTGTCCTTCAATCTATAGATTAAATAATAGTTTATTGGATTATGTTGAAGCTTTGTTAAATAATGGTCACTTCAATGCAGTGTTACTGTGTATTGTTTTGGAGATATCCTCACACCGAGGTCATGACCTTCTCTGATGTTTTCTGTCCATTTAAAAGGTAATTGTTCAGGAAGGGAACCCTAACTTTTTACACTCATCAACTGATGCCCTATATTGTACTTGAATATTTTAGTTTCCTGTTCCTCCAATTTCTGGTTTGTTTAATTATTGAGGTCAAAGGTTACTGTGCAATGGCCGTTTATTTAGGTGTATAAAGGTGAATAAACTATCAATAATCGTCTGCATGGTCGACGTAAATAAATATGAGGAGACATGGAGAAGTTATTTTTTAGATTGTGTTTCACATTTCAATAATACCGATGACGTTGCTTGTAATACATCTGTTTATTGCTGGCAATTTTACTATGTGGCGTCATGTTGAGCTGTGTGTGCACAGGTAGCATGACTCTTCTGGTGAATACGGGATACAGTGTTATCAATTCATGCTATGATTTAAGGGATCTGTATCTGGGTCACGTATATGGTATCCATAGTTTACTAGAATAGTAACCATCATCACGAGCAGCAGCTGTGGGTGTTTTCCTGAATCTGTTATTTGTTAAAGGAGGTCAACAGTCATGCCAACTGTCATACTCCCATGGTTATCATCATATTTGCCAAATGTCAGTAAAGTATATATAATAATGGCGGGCAGATATTTATTTTGATGTCATGAATGCGCATTTATTAAAGATAACTATGACAGATTCAATTAAAATAGTTTTTATCTGTATGTGACTATGATTATAATAAACAGCTAAGAGTTTGTTTACTTCCTACATAAATATATTGATAGTCTTGTGTTTCTTGATGTAATGCCTTGTTGGTAGCTATAATGCCACTGATGATTGATTATACACTGCTCCATTGTGTCGAGCTCTCCAGAGGGTTCGCTGTAACAATTAAATTGACATGGTCATCCTCTTTGCATAAATGTCTAATTATTATTTCAAGAGGTATAGTGAATGAATTTTGTTTCAAATGTCAGTTTTGTGCATCGTCATGCGACATCGCATATGTTTAATCAGGCCGGAATTAGCAAATAGATAGAAATAGATTGTATTATCCGAGATGTGGATTTTGTGGTGCGTGCTTATATTTGTGTGGTGTATTTTTTATCATGGCTAGTTGTGAGTGAAATCCTGTGTATGGATTAAATAGTTATGTTCACAGCAGTATTGCTTGCTTGCTTGCTTGTAATGTTTGCTTAGGAAGTGATAATATAAAAATATGTATCATATATATTTTTGGGGGAATTTATTTATTTCTGAAAGGGTGGAAAATATATAATTTTTTTTAAATAATGTCAATGTGACCTCAGTGACCCCTTACTGTTTTACAAAATTAACAATTTACAGTACATGTAACTTCAGAATCTGGGAAATTAAATCATACATCAAATTGGTGTTCTCGGCAGAAATAAACTGAAACAATATAACAGTGGTTTCCAATCATTTGAAAATACACATAATTTCATGTATGTAAATATTGTCACTGACTGATAGCAGTGAGGGGTATAATACCTGTATATTGACCACATATATATACGTATTATATTCATGACAAAAAGATGTGATAAAAATAGCAGGGAAAGTGTCATAATGGTACTTGTAATATAGCAATAACAATAAAATAATGTTTAATATGCTTGAAATATTGATGTTACTGTTATGCAAATTACCATACACAATTGACCTAGTTATTTTAAAATGTACATGAATGACTGGCATCGTAATCTTCTTTATTAGAAGCTGAATCTATGCGTTTGTTTACATCACATGTTTGCATATAATATCTCTCTTCAGTGTGTTTCCCTTAATAGATGGTTGTTTACTGTAATTTCTCTGCTTTATCAAGAATTGTCTAATATTTCTGTGCATGTGACTCATTTTATAGATGAAATTTCCTATGCATTTCTGTCGCCTCGTGTATTCATTTTATTTGTAGAGGGAGGAAGGGAATGCAATGTAATAATGGAATACCTGATGAAGTACGGTATAACATGCTATTGTGCTTCTCTTGTGCTAAAAATAGCCATATGAGCAAGGTTCACGTATTGAACATGTTTACAGCTATTACACTAATTACATATGAAAACACTTGTTTCACTATTATTTTTTTGAGCATATGCAAAGTTGCTATATTAAAATATAGTATTTGTCAT